AGTATGGCTTCGGCGCATGCGCAGTGGTGGGGGCTGGCGGCCGCCGGCTGTGCCGGGGCGGGCCATGCACTGCCGCAGGAGGCCGTCCCGCTGCAGGCCGGGTCGCCGGGCCTGGTGTGCCCGGCAGCGGCGTCCCCCTGCTGGGCCGGCTCCCAGCGAGCTATTTTTCCGCAGAAGCAGCGTGCCCGGTAGAGGAGCGCAGCCCCGAGAGAGGACGGGCCGTGTGCGTCCCGGCGCGCTGTCAGGCAGCGGGGGCGGGCTGGGCGCGGGCCCGAGGGATCTGCCGCCAGTGTGGGTTGGGTAAAACGATCGGCCTTGCTCGGCGCTGGCGGGTCCGGAGGGGAAACTCGGCGTCGTTAGTGCTGCTGCTGCGGGGTGGCGGCCTGAGCCGGCTCCCGTGGGTGCTCGTACGTCTGTCTGGGCGGGCGTGAGCCGCACACGGGCGTCTCCTCCAAACAGAGCGTTAGCGCCGCGTTCCGCTGCTTCAGCGCTCGGGAGGCGCTTCGCAGAGATAAAGCCGAGAAGATGGGTGCGTGGTGGATCCGGCACCGTTTTGCGTGGAGGAGAAGCGTGTGTCCGGGTGCCACGTCCCCCGGTGCTCCTCGTGGCCTGGCGGGGTCTGGATACCGGCAGGGACGGCGGCTCTGTGCCCGAGGAGGTCAGCAACAGGAGAGAGGAGAAGCTGCGGGGCCCTGGAGCTAGAAAGCTCAGGCTTGCCAGGGACTGACCAAGTAGGGTTTCAGAGTTTGCTCTGGAGTTTGGCAAAGGCTGCCTGAAGTAAAAGATGTTATCGTGAAAAAAAATGTGGGTTCATTGAATCAGTGGTTTCCATTTCTTCAGGCATCTTTGTGGATTTTCTAGTCGGCTCTAGTTGTAAAACTAGTCACAAGGCTGGGCACTGGTTCTGAGCACTTTTAATTGGTCTTGTCACCATTATGTTGGAGTTACAGCCTTACTGCTTAGAATGTATTCATGCGTATAACATCTTTCCTAGGAGTTAAGAAGCTCCTACTTATTGTCATTCAAGAGATACAGAAGCACAGAGCGATTAATGACTAAATAGATTAAATGACTTAAGGCCAGGCCACCCATTGAGAATCACAGCCTTGAATTTTGCATAGGCGCTCCCTATGCACTGCATGGTGTTACTTAGAAGCCTAAAAATAATATCCACAGAAACCAAGATGATGAATGGGAAGGTGCCAAACCAGCAAATGAGAAACACTGCAACTTTAGCTGTTGAGGAATGTTAGTTGTTTAGTGTAAATAACTACCTTTTAATGAGAATAAATTACTTAGGATTATAATATGGAGTGATTTGTCCTGTTTGCTGGGCTTTACTTAGCATGATTTGGTAGGTTTGCTGAAGCCTTTGGGCTGGGATAGAGTTATTTTTATTAGTAATTTTCCTAGCAGCTGGTGCAGTGCTGTGTTTAGTCTTTTAGTATGGAAAAGATGTTGATATCACACTGATGTTTTGGGAGTGTTTTTCCCAAGCGTGGGATCCTTGTTCTCCATGTCCTGCCAGCAAGTGCAGGTGCACTAGGAGTGTAAACCAGAAGATAAGGAGGCTCCAACCCTCAGCTGAAGCTGCAGATCAACAAGATAAGAGCCTGCCTGGACGTAGAAAAATAATCCACTAAGATGTTAGTAGACCCCAGACTAAAAATCTCTGTTGGGCTAAAAGACGCTTGAAGAGTGCGTAGCGGGGCAGGTGTATGCATCACAAAGGTGCAATTCTCCAGGGATTTCTTTGTTCAGGGTCCTTCTCTTTGGAGGGACCCAGCTCAGGCTGACCCTGCTGCTGCACCTTTCAATAAATTAATTATTTTATAAAATCCAACGCCTGAGACTCTGTTGCAGAAAACCTAGCATCAAGCCTGAAGAAGGAGGAAGTGCGCCCGAGAGTAAGTGCGTGTGTGTGTGCGCCACAATGAATGGTGTGTGAATGCACAGGGAGCGGCTTCTCCTTTAACATGGCTTTTCCTTTTTTAGGAATGTAAGGATTTAGTTCTGCGTTGCAGAACTGTAGCATGTTTATCCCTAAATGGCGTTTACTACCTTGAGTCCTTTGCTGAAGTTACCGGCTGCTTTCAGGTCTTTCCTACAAAACACAACTGGAAGAACTTCCTTTTATGTGGATTGCTCAGCAGAACACATGGTCACTCAGTACAGTTCCTTTTTGACTGCAGGAACATGAATTTGGATCCTTTTCCCATCTTAAGAAAATGCCCTGATTGCCACCAGTCAGTTGTCCCAAAGACCTAGGTGCCAGCATGTCTACTGTTCCACGGAGACCCATCGCAGGCTTTGTTTAGTAGCAAAGATTTAGGCAGATTCATTGCCTATAAAACACGGTCCCAACTTGCATCTTCCAACAAAGTACATTTGACTGGGACAAGATACTCACAAAATGCTGTCTTCATGGCTAATGAGAAGCTCGCCTGGCTTCTCACTGCCCCATTTATGCAGTGCTGAAAACAATAGCATGTTACATTGCACATGGCCCAAATGGCCACATTCCACCCCTACCACAGAAGTATTTAATTACTCCTCATGTAATGAACATACTGCCATTACTCCCTTTTGTCAGGATCAGTTGCTTTTTTACCACCCACCTAATTTCATTATCCTCTTCTTGGGTAAACAGTTCATCTATCACTCACACCTTCTACGCAACCTGCTTTGGTTCCTGCTTTAGCAAACCCTTCATCTGAGTAAACACGCTAATCAATACCCTGGTCAGGTCTGCACCGGATTTGGCAAAGAGGAGTTACTGTCAAGCCTTCCTTTTAAAGCTTCTCAGCTCCTCCTGAAGCACTAAATACCAATTAGATGAGAAGGGGTGGGAAAGTAAGTACACCTGCCACACTGTCCAAGGGTCAGGTCATTCCCTGATCTTGAAAACATAATTTTCAGGTTGTTCCATTAAGCAGTCATCCTCACAAAAGCTAATTTCCTGCAGAGGGCCTATGCCACTGCAGTAAACCCATCTGCCCTCTCTTGTCCCCTACCACCTCTTCCCAGTACATCCAGTTCTTCTGGAAACTCTTTTACCCCAAATATCCTCAGCTTGCTCTATACCCCCATCCAGAGGCTGGTCAGCCTGTGCCTGGGGACTGGCCAGTGGAGTCCTCCCCACATTTAAGCAGTTGATCTCACAGTACAGGCTTTTCCAATTTAGGTCTCGCTGTACAATCCAGCTTCTGGGGGTTTTTTTTGCTTATGAAACAACTACAAAACATCTTTGATATCTGTCAGATTTGTTCTAAATTTGTCACTTGGCTTAAATAATTGTAGCACGAATGCCTGAATTCTTTGGAGAGGCTGGCAAGTGCCTCCTGTCCTTGGACCAGCAGGCTAAAGTAGGTGAGTATGAGGTAGGTGTATGGCCAGGACTCTATGGCAGAGCCGTGGCTGCCGTGTGGTAGTAAGGAGAGGGAGAAGTTTCCCCCTGGACCAGTTGCCCCCAGCCTGCTCCGTCCCGGCAGCGGGCGCTGGACGTGCCTCCCACAGGCTCCTCTGGCTGTGCTAGGGAGCAGCAAGGGGATGAGCCGCTCCGACACTGCCCTTGCTCTGGCTGTCCTAAGTAATTCTTCAAGCCAAGGAAATGAGGTTTTATGTTATTATTCTATTTTTATCCTTCTTTTCCTTCTCCAAGAAAAGTTTTCATAACAGTCAACATTAATGCAGGGTTAGTGTATCATCAAAACAATACAACAGCAACATGCACCTGCAAAACCAGGTGTGTACTGCTAAGCACTGCTACTGAAAATGTATCCGTCAGCATTACAGTCATTATGTGTGTTAACTGGCACACAACATTTGTTTTGCTGATCTTTTCCTTATAAAAGCAAGCTTCTAGAATTTGGCCTTTATTTTTATTATCAGCTAATAAACATTTTGGACATTTATTTGTTAGTAATCCTGTATTGTTGCTACTGTTGTTATTATGAACAGTAGCCAACGCTATGAATTTTTGTTACATTTCATTTTCATCAGGATGGCAGCATAATTCTGTGGTTTTAGTTTGGCAGCTGACAAAAAATAATTACACTAAATATGTTAATTCTGGTGCCTAGGACACTTATCTTGAGTTACTGTGGGAAACTGAGACACCTCCTCCTTCACTTTATGAGCCGAGTGAAAACTGTTTTTCAGTCAAATTTGCTTTGTAAATTTAACTAAAATTAGCTAATGTTTTAAATTGACCAACACCACGATTTCTAGCAGTTTAGCTGTATATCTACTCTCTCCTTTACTTCAAGTAACTATAACCCCAATGATCTCATTGTGTATTGCTTCTCATTTATTGTTTATAAATAATAGCCCTGCCACATGGGAAGGGCAATTAAAAAATACTGTTGCAGACCTTTTAGTGCTTATTCTCCAAATACTAGTCTACAGAGGGTTTACCATTCATATACAACTGCCTCATAAAATATACCTCTATATAAAAATAAGTATGTATAGTGACATGCAGAAGAAGATTTACATGTAAGTTAAAAACATGCAGGTTCTGAGCAGTGAAAACATGCACATTCATTATCTGTGCTTTGTCACTGACCGGGGGGAGGTTGGTTGTAGTCATGCAGGTATTATAATAGTTGGTTGTAGTCATGCAGGTATTATAATACGGACACGCGGCATTCACAGCTACGACATTAACTATAAAATAGACAGCAATGTGCATAGTCATAAAAGCAAAGATATTCATGGCAGTATTGTGAGATGAAGCCATAAATCTTATTAAACACAGATTTTGTCTTTTGAATTGTGCGCTGCAAAGAACACATAGATGTTTCATGGAATAATTCTTTTTAAGTTACCTGTTTAGTTTTTAAAGCAAGTGTTTTAAATTACTCCTTACCTTCCAAGACAGAAACATGGCTTAGCACCAGCCCTCTCCTCTAAGGACCTCCACTTTAATACTTCTGCAGTGGTATTTCTGTTGTGGTTCCTCATATAAAATGTTAGAGGTCAGCAGTGGGTTACTTTGTTCCTGTTTTTTTAAAGAATGGGTTTGATAATTTACTCTAATTTTAGACTTTGACTATTTTTGGCGAGAGTCACTTGGGCTAGATCAATTGAACCTTGTACCAGCAGCTTCATTCAACAGTCTTTATGAGCACAAATTCTCTGCTGGGCTTTCTTTTTTTTTCTGAAGAACCTCATGCATTTTACTCATTTGTAAATAAAATTATGCACAGGTATGGAGTATTTGTAACATTCAAAGATGCACCAAATTATTGTTAGAGTAAAAGATCTTACAAATTTCTCTTTCTCTCATTCATAGTGCTCTTTACTCTTTTCTTCCCCAGAAGTTCAGTAACTTCATAAAATTTGTTTGACATTGTGACAGAAAGTCATGCCAAAAGCAGGTATGCAGGTATCAAAAAATGCCCAAAAACATTTAGTCTACTTTAAAGTGAAACATGCTTTTTCCTTTAGTGAAATCAATCTTTTTGAAGTACAGATTTCAGCAAACTCATCGGTTTAACTGCAGGCCAAAGGTCATGTTACCAGAATGGCCTCATGCTTGTCACAGGTCACCAGATCGCATCTACATACTGTTCACTAAATCAACTAGGCCAGCCTTGGCGTGGCGAGCAGGGGGGACAGGGGTGTCTTCGTGGAACTCAACTTTGTGTCCATAAACTGTACGTGTGGTTGACATCAGTCTCAAAAAGCCACTAATGAACTTCACTTATTAAAAGCATGTACAGGTTTCTATTGTTTGTCAGTTTATGCTCTGTCACACTCCTGACAAGGCCAAGGTTTAACCTGAGAACTCATTGTCCATCAGGGCGTGATCCACTTTTACCAAGGGAAATGAACGTCCTGCAGAGCACTACCTGCAGTGGCAGGTAGACATGCCCTTCCCTTTCACCTGTGGCTTCCAGCTGAGCTGTGCTCCAGGCTGGTAAAGCGCAGAAAATTACGACATTCTTGCCAAGCCAAGCCAATTCTCACCTAAACTCTGATGCTTCCATGACTGGCCATCTAGCAGCAAGAGACAGCAGCCAGATCTTGAGGGGATTCCCTGCCCTGCACCAAGTCCACGGTGATTCATAGGAAGGTCAAAACCACAATGGATGTTCACAGAGCCCTGTGATGCAGCTGTCCACAAGGAAGAAATAAAGTCCTCCAGATCTCTGCAGGCAAACAGCTGAAGCCATGCTTGAGTGTACCTGCAGTGTCTCACACACTGCTATCTTTAGAGCTTATTTTGTAGCTTTATCTCCAGGCAGTTCAGATGTTTGTTTGCTTCATCTGCTATCCCTTTTATGGAGTTTTTAATAAAACTTATGGACAAAGATTGCATTGTCCCTTGACTGCAGATATGAAACCAGTTTGGTGTGGACTCTCAACAAAAGTTTTCTGGGCCACTGATTTGAAAATGTTTAAATTGACTATATGGTCTTTTATGTCTTCCCTTATTAGAGGAACTTTCTGTTCCGCCAGCAGCTTGGTAGGACATAGATGTCTCCTAGTTTGATCCAAATAGAGATATTTCTTCTTTTTCCATCTGATACTTTAGCACATTAGCAGGAGTATCACCTGTACATAAGCTAGTTTTTTCTTGGTCTTTGGAGAATTCTAAAATGCTGGCTTACATCTAATTCTCTTGGCCAGTGGGAGTTCACAGGTTTCTCTCTGACTTATTACCAGATGATTTTGAGTTGCATTTTATAGCTTGCCATCTACCTTTTTGCCCTTTTTGTCTGTCTTGTGTTTTCTACATTTTATTTTAACCAGGATGGCTTCTCAACCACTATAGAGTTTCGTATATTTGTGGAATGATGGCTTTTTTTTGGCATTCACTGGGAAATCTTCAAAGAGTTCCTAGATTCTGTTAGAACTGCCAGTGACACTTTAATGTTATTTAATAATTAATTATTGCAACAATCATGTTAAGGAATTACTTTCACTGTGAGTGACTCTGTAACAGTTATGAAGTGAGAGTTCTGTTGAGGCTTGTGTTCCTTTGCATGGTGGGAATTCCTCTTGCCTGTCCATCACAGGCGACACGCAGGAAATGAATTAGTCATTCATTCTGGGTTGTGACAAAAAAAATGTTTCATGGTGGAAATCAGTGTCCTCTGTATACCCTGTCAACAACATTTTTTTAATGAGTGATGTGTGTTAGCCTGGGGAAGGGAAAAACTAATTCTAGTCAAAGGTCAATTGATATTTGTATGTCTGCCCTATTCTGAAGTTATATCTGTTTTATAAATGTCTAGGAAGCTGCCTACAAGTTGACTAGGAAGTTGACATAGTTACTAAAAGTCTCATGGGTTT